TAATTTCTAAACATTAAACATTGACTGTCAGTCTTTATTCACCTGTTTCTCGTTATTTCTCATTAAAATTAATTAAAGTAAATAGTGTAAATTACATAGCTAATGTCATAGAATAGCACATTGTAACGCAGTGTTACAACGTGCCCCATCTGCGCAACTGGAATTTAAAACTGGTGAGTGTCTTCTGCTAGTAATCAAAGCATCTGAACTGATAAATAACAGATTGGAGATTAAAATAATAGCAGATTTGTCTAATTTTAAATGAATAATAAAAACTGAGATATAAAATTTACTTAAGCCAGAATTTAAATGTTACTATGGTAAAATAAATATTCAAACCACATGTGTTACAACTAACACTCCGTTACTTTGTGTATCGCACTCATCGCAAGTTTATTGTTAAATTGTTAAATGCCCTTACATATCTCAGTCACCATTATAAGTGTTTGATCACCACATTTGAGTGATCATTGCAAAAAATGTGTTTATGTATATATATTCTGTTTATGTATAATACTGTATTCTATATATAGTATCAGTCAAATGTTTGGACGCACGAATGGGAAAGTGTCCAAACTTTTGACTGGTACTGTACTATAATATACACTAAGAATATCGGCCGATATATCGGTATCTGCCTTTTCTACGGCCTAATATCGGTATCGTATCGGCCCCAAAAAAAACATATCGGTCAGGCTCTTCTTTTATCGTGTGTCGCGGTGTCGCATGTAGTTAGGACACGGTGTTAACCATCCAGAAAACTTACCACTAGCTGTTCAACCATCAAATTGCCATCGGTCCATGACGATTATGTAATAGCTGGCTGTCCCCTGGGGCTCCAACTTCTTTGAAGTGGAAATCTGTTTTAGTCAAGGTGTGACATGAGTAAAAATAAAAATTGTAGTGTGTTTGTTGTGTTGTTGAAAATATAGTGTGTGGCACATATTAAATACTCATCTAAACACAGCTCCCAGGATCAATGAGAGACTGATTGTGGAAGTTTAAATAGATGGGATCAGTGCTGTTATTGTTAACTCAAACTGATAAAAAGCATTTTTGTTCATTGAAATAAAGCGAAAATAAGTATAAACATTAGAAGAAAAAACTGCCAACTAGCTAAATGCGAAGTCACACCTGGTTAGGATGCAGTGATAGACAAATGATCAGTTTTATGATAAAGCACCACTCACTAGAGAAGCTCACTAGTGGACTGATTTTGTGGAAAGAGTCAGTGTTATTTTAGTATTAGAGTTCTTCTTAATGTTTTGAATTCATTTTATTTTTATATTTCTGTTTTCATTTCAATTTAAAGTTTATAATACCTAATAATTTTGTTGTCATTTGTATTAGTTTTTTACGTCTATATAGTTGAAATAAGTTTGTTTTTAATATTTGATTTGATTTAATTTCATGTTTATTTTCTTTGAAGCAGTGAATTTTTTTTTAATAGTTTTAGTTTTAGTTAATGATGATGATAACCCTACTCAGAGTGCACTAACTACTCAAAAATTGGCTCTCTAATTAGGCCCACCAGGGAAATGGTTCAGAGTCATGCTGACTGAAAGAGCGCATTACCATCATTGCCCCGCGCACACACACACACACACACACACACACACACACACATTGAGAATCAATATCAGTCATCAGATGTTCCCAGCACCTCTCTCTCTGAACATGTCTGTGTGATTTGTGTCCCTCAGGACCGTCTGCCGCTGGCTGTGGTGGGCAGTAACACCATCATCGAGGTCAATGGGAAGCGTGTACGGGGCAGGCAGTACCCCTGGGGCGTGGCAGAAGGTAAGGGGTGAAAGGTCACCTCCTCTTCGTGTGTGTGTGTGACCCTGAGGCTGTTGAACTACTCTGGTTCACAGCAGATCTGAGTCTGAGTGATCTAAATGTAGTTGTTTGGCTTCATTAGTGATGTTTGCTAAGGCTATCATTGGCTTCCCACACCGTTTGTGCTCCGGACCGTAATGCACCTCTCATTGTGCTGTTTGAATGTGACAAAACAGTCTGTTTGACCAGTGACAGCACAGAAAGCTTTAGCTTGTGACACGTTCACCAGACAATGTCTAGCCTCCACTGAATCATTCAGGGCGGACTCTGCCAGTGACTTTCACTTCAGTCAGATTATATTTTATAAGACCAAACCATAGCCAGAGGACGGGATATCATGAATCCAGTGCCCTTCAACAGTTTAGAAAAACCCTAGGAAGAGAATATATAAATAATTTCTTGTCATAAGATCAACTTGCCATCATCAATGAAGACTAGTAATAATGGTTTTCTTTTTGATCACAATGGCATTATATGTACATCTGGGAGGCTGGAATGCCTGATGACGGCATTAAACTTCTCTCATGTTTCTTTTTTTTGGTCAGTATAGCTTTATTATCCTTTTAATTATAACTTAATTTAGGGTTTCCCAAACTGGGCTTTGTGAGGGAACTATAGGGAGGTTTTGATTTGATGAAAAGCTAATAAATAAGACAATGTAATATTTAAAATGAAATTTATTTTAAATATTTATTTTTTAATATTTTTTGTTTAATGGCAGTTAATGGCCACATGACATACAGGTACAAAGCGAACTATTTAACAGAAATATTAACTTCAAGTAAATATTTTAGGTCAGCTGATTTGTTTTTGTTTTGGTAATGTCTTTAATTAATTGCCAGTTAAGCTTAGCACACCACAGACCAATTAGAATCTGCAATACAAATCAAGCATTAGCAACAAAATAATCCCTTTATTAGTGTCAGAACGTTTTTGCTGATAACTAAGGCCATGTTTTTAGTTTAATAAAGAAATGCAACGTTTTCAGTTCTGAACTGAGGTGCAATCCAGTGTTATTTTAGCATTATTTATTTACCGTTTTAGTTTTTTTTAGTTAGCTTTTATTTTATATTTTTAGTTTATTTAAATGTTATTGTAATTTTTAGTAATTTAATTTTTTTTGCATTTCTACTTTTTTATTTTTGTTTCGTTCAGTAAGTACTTCAGCTTATTTCAGTTCAATCATTATTTTTTCATATATTTCTTTATTTTAATTAGCAAAAGTGTTTTCTAATATTTGTAGTTAATAATAACAACACTGGAGCTAGTTAATTAAATAAAGGCCTCTTACAGAAATGAAAGAATAAACAAGTGACATCTTATAAATGAAAGGCATAATGAAAAGCTTGTCCTCGTAGTGTGTTTAGGGTCATGTGATAAACACCCTAGGGTGTGCAGTAAGTGAAAGCCTGCAGATCTGCAAACAGGAAGAGTGTGTGTTTTGACGTTTGATCGAGAGCTCCTGTGGAGCGGGTCACGTGATCCGCCGTGAACATACAGTATCAACTATGAGCACGGCTGGAGTCGTCAATGAAGCTTTGAAAATGAAGGCCCAGTGATGTTTGGCATTTGAAGCAGAAGATCAGATGCTGATTTGAGTAGTCACATCTGCTCGCTCACCGGAGCGGTTTGGCTGGAGCTGATGCCTGCGTCTACTTCCCCTTCTTTCTAGACCTTTGACCTCTGATAACACCAGAGTCGCTAAGCCAGATCCTCTGGAGCCAGCCGCACTGAGAGCAGGGTTATTGTGTCTAGACAGAAACATGAAGTGTGATCAGGAGGGCAGTGGGTTTGATTGCTGTGTTTGGATTCAGTGGTTATCTGTTTTAAAAGGGTAGGTTTGAATGCCTGAGATGCTTTCAGCAGCATGTAAGCACACAGATGGCCTGTGGTTGGGAAAGGAGGGAGAGGTCGGCTTCATTCATTCGATAAGTGACGCACACACAGCAGGAGACAGATCAGGTGACACCTGCTGGTCAGTTTATACATTACTGTAGCAGAGGAACGATAAATGCCAGTTTGTTCCTATGGACCCTGACCTGCAGTGTCCAAACTCTAGTTATTAAAGCATCTTGCTTGGTTTACTTATTTTTTTTTGTTTTGGTTTCAATTAGGAGTTTTTTGTTTTGTTTTATTTTTTGTTTACTTGGCTTAGTTTTTGTTGTTGTTGTTGTTTTGCCAACAAGCAGGTTACTTCTGTTTAGCTTCGTTTGATTTGTGTGTTTTTTTGTGCAATTGATTTTGTTTTCAACAAGTAACGTTAGGTTATTTTTGTTTACATTTCTTGTTTAGCTTAGTTTGGGTTGTGTTTTGTTTGAGGGTTTTTTTTGTAGTTTTGGTGCAATTTATTTTTGTTTTGTTTTCAACGAGTAGGCTATTTTTGTTTGGTTTAACTTAGTTTTTTGGGGGCGTAATTGATATTTGTTTTGTTATGCAGGTTATTTTTGTTTAGCTTAGCTTAGTCAAAGTCCCTTTAAGGCCACTTAGGCCAGTCATGTCACTCGGCGGCCATCTTTGAAACGCCTCTCGGCCATGAAAGTGCAGCTCCTATCACTTTGAATGGCGAAACATTAAATTCTCCCAAACTGTTCTCTAAACTTACAATTAAATTTCATATTTGAAATCACCAGAGAAATCTGACAACAACTGTGTCATAAATGTACTTTCTTTTGCTCAAATAGCATAATAAAGCGGATAGTTCCGGTCCTTGATTCTGATTGGTCGAGCCGTGTTCGAAGCTGTTGTACATTACTCTACAAACATACAGCTTTCTTTACATTTGTCTGTTGCTCGGCAGCCACTTTGTTGGAACCACAACTGTTTCTGAGGAACTGCATTGTTTGGTGGAAGAATACGGTTTTTATTAATATCATTACACTTTAATTGCTCTGTTTTATTCTGTGAAACCTTACCTTATAAAAGCAATAAGCGCCGTGAAGCCGTGGTTTACAGTGAATTTATAACAGCTAAGGGGGGTTTTCTAACAACACCCCTTAGCTGTTATAAATTCACTGTAAACCACGGCTTCTTGCTTTATTTTTCAGGCTAGATCAGCCAGTGCGCATGCGCATGTCTCAGAGCGCTGACTGTTTCTATAGCAACTGGGATACTTCTAAAGGCAGCTGCAGTGACGCGCTGACTTTACCGATTAGCGATTGGCTCTTTCATTCAGAAGGCGGGGCTTCCTGCGATTGAGCGGCCATATTGAGCATTGCATTTTTCCCCCATTCAAAACTATACGAGTGACATGTCTTGGGTATTCTATAGTCTTTGACTTAGTTTGGTTGTGTGTGTGTGTTTTTTTTTTTTTGTTTTGTTTTTTTTTTACAATTAGGTTATTTTTGTTTAGTTAAACTTGACTTGGTTTTGGGGGTTTTTGTGTGTCGGTGTGTTTATTGTTTGCAATTGATTTTTGCTTTGTTTTTAACGACTATGTTACTTTTTGTATATATTTGTATATTATATGTTTGCATTAGACTTTATTGTATATAGGCTTTCAGTCCTCCACAATTCAGCTCCAGATTATCTGTATGTAATCCCGATTGGATATTCGTATGTAATTATGAAGCCCATATTAATACCAATTTGCTTACTTCTGTGAGAATAGTCACTATGCAAGGTGTGTACTGTGCGAACAATGAAGAATTGGTACGGAGTGTGACACAACCCACTGTCTGATATCATAAAATTAAATCTGATTATATATTATTAATAGCATGCAAATTGGCATTCAGCCAAAAGTTACTAACTTGGTACAACTTCCCCCAAAGTATCTTTTTTTTTTATTGTAATCATCTATAAAGGAAATTATAAGTGTATGTTAGAAAATAAGTTGAAGATCAATGACACTTATGGTGTATGGAAAAATCTAGAGCAGATCACGGGCTATAAGATAAAATCTCAAGTCATCTCTAAAGATATTACATTTAAAGATATTACATTGCCTGATGAACTTAATGCGTTCTACAGTCGCTTTGAAAATACAATGGAGGGACAGGTTGGTCAGCCGACGCTGCCCTCCTGGTCCTGTATTATAAGCCCTCCTTTTAAAATAGAGGAATATGAAGTCAGGAATCTGCTGCGGAAGCAGAACAGCAGAAAGTCAGCAGGCCCTGACTCCATATCATCTGCAACATTGAAGTGGTGTGCGTTCATCCTTGCCCCAGTATTCACCGATATATTCAACTGGTCATTAAGAGTATGCAGAGTCCCAGTATGTTTTAAAGCAGCTGTTATAATTCCAGTGCCAAAAAAGTCAAATATTAGTTGCTTAGATGATTACAGACCAGTGGCCCTAACTTCAGTTGCTATGAAAATCTTTGAGCGATTGGTGCTTAGGTATCTAATTTCTAAAATCTGTCTGGATTCTCACCAATTCGCCTATAAGACTAATAGGTTGGTTGATGATGCTGTGGCTCTGTGTATCCATTCAATTTTGCAACACCTTGAAGCCCCTAATACTTATGTCAGAGTCCTTTTTGTGGACTATAAATCGGCATTTAATACAATTATTCCAGTTAAACTTTTTGATAAATTAAAGCAATTGGGGATTCAACACTCCCTTGCTCTTTGGATTTTGGATTTTTTTGTAGTTAAAAATACTTTCAAGTCTTAAAACAATTAGTGTGGGGGCCCCACAAGGATGTGTGCTGTCACCATTATTGTACTATTGTACTCTGAATGATTGTGTTTCACATTGTAAATCAGTGCAAATTAAGTTTGCAGATGATACTACATTGATTGGTTTAATAACAAATAATAAC